AACACTGAAAAAATTGGTACATAAGAAATGAGAAGTAAATTAATATTAAGCTGGAAAACGCAAGTTTTGTATTATGATTGTTTTCTTTTCAAATGAAATTTATTGAAGAAACTGAGAAGCATATTATAGATCAAACAGAAAGCAAAAAAGACTTAGGCACTCCGCACATTAAGCTCCTAAGTACAGTAGTGTAATCGTTTCGGCATACTAAAGTATAAAGCTTTTATGCCGAACCCATGTATTTCAATGAAGCTCTGTAGATTACGATTCAAAATCATGTTTGCGCCTAATCATAAAAGCTTCATGAATCGAAGCGCCCAACATTGTAAGGCGCTTGCAGTTTTGAAATCGTCATTTCTTTACTTTTTTGTGTTGGAAATAAAATTTATTTGTCAATTCAATAGAAAATAATTGTAAATGAACGATTTCGTGCTAAAATTCGTGCAAATTGCATTAAACCACAAGCGTTTATGCAATATTTCGGAGCGAAATAATTTGCGGAGGTGCATGTTGCGAAAGAACGGCCAAAAAATTTGTTATGTGTAGAAAGTGTTTATTAGCTGGTGACTTATGCAGGGCGTGCAAGTGTGCAGAAGTCGAGTCGTCATGCACTCGTTTCGGTATGATAAAACGATTACTCTACTTTGATTAGGCGCGTAATGTGCCAAGTGCCTTAGTTTTGTGGAAAATATGTTCAAAAAGCATGAAAAAAATGTCCAACATTTTGCTTCATAAGCACTACACAAATTTTCTAAATCATCCTCCCATATTCATTACATATTTCGGTTTTCAACCGAAACTGTGCATGTAGGTATACATTACTTCGTTTTTCACATATGCATTATTTCGTATTTGAACCGAAATTGTGCATGCATGCATTATTTCGGTTTTTGTTATATGCGTTATATCGGCACCCTTTTCCGTCAACACAGGAAGGAGAATTTAACTTAGTAGTGGTAATAATCCCTAAGAGTGGCCGAAGGTCGCCTACGCAGAAAGAAGTTCTGCGCCAAAATACTTTTCCGGCAACACAGGAAGGAGAATTGTACTTAGTGGGTTAATGCATGATCAATAATGTGTTAAGACGTCAAACATTTACTCTTAAAGCGAGTCTAATGGAAAGAAAATGGTTTCAGAATTTTGAGCACCCGCTTATATAGGGCGGCCCCAGTGTGCGGCATTCGAACACGAACTTGCTGGAAGCTAACAAATAACAGCAAGCATCTCTGCATGTTAAGCTACTGCCAGACATACAAATGTGTTTTCATATGTTCAACTTGAATAACATTGCTTACAATCGGTGTATTTACTATGAAAAAATCTTATTGGTTGAAAAAACCATTAGTGAAATTCGCGCTTCCGTGTATTTTCTGTATCCTGTGTAAATGTAACTTGACGAGCGTATCATGAACGAAACACACAAGATCACGCGGGAAGGAAAGAACGAAAAAAGTTATTTTCTAGCTGCCGAAATCTCGACGCCATCTTTGTTGTAAGAAGTAAACAACGAAGAGAACGGAGAAAACCGCGAAATTCTTGAACGCATGAAAAATCATTTTTATTATGCAAATTCTTCTATAAATCGTGCCGTTGTGTTAAATTATTCTTTATCTTATGTGTACACACGTTGTCACAAGCGAAAATGAAGAAAATTGCAGTAAAAAGCCACCATCAAATTGTAAACAACGAAGAAATGTAAACAAACGGCTAATGTCAAAATCGTTCAACTTTTTTCCTAAATGCGATTCTAACGGGCTAGTCTCCTGCCCGCGTGATCTTGTCTTTTTGGTTCATGCGAGTGTATGGTTGTTGTTGCATGTGTATTTGATGTACCGCTAACAACAACAAATCCCACGCTCATGCAGTTACAATTACATAACATACAACGAATACACAGAAGAGCGAGTTCCCCTATTGTGCTTTGGCTCGGTGTAGATATGTAAATTTGAAGTATACATAGATTACAAGCTGAAACGCGCCCATACTCTCCGAAATTTCAACTAAACATTTTAAAATGCAGACTAAAAAAATGTACCATATAACACTACATGTTACAGGCACTGAGATAAATAACTAAAAATATCTGTTTAATATTTAAACACACATTTAATTTTTGTACTATTTTGTCCATCGTGGCGATAGCTGATAAAACTCTTTTCAAAATGCTGGCTGATTATGTACATTTTTATGCATTCATGTGGAAAAAATAACTATCTGCTTACTTGTATAATTTTTTATTCCCCACTGGTTGTTCTTAAACTTATTTTTTGTTAATTTACATATCTTTTGAGACACGCTCGGCAGAACTTTTTGAAAAAATGGCGACCTTCTCACTTGTCCGTTGTTTGAAGGATACCGCAAATCTCAAACGCAATGAATCACTGATGAAGTCGTTTAAAAAAAAAAAGTTAGTTAATTTTTTTCTACGTTTAAAAAAATTATGAATTCTTTATCAGATGTCTTAAAATTTTCAGAGTTTGCTGAAAAAGAAATGAACTTTGTAAAAAAAAATTTCGTACTTATCTAGTTGGGCTTTCAACCCCTAAAATTTATCGCAATTCAGGAAATGAGGTACCAATGGATGCATCTGGACCCTAGTAACAAGAATACGAAATTAACTTTTTTTACCCGATCAAAAGTTATTATCAAAAAACTTTTTCAATAGCACCCTTTTTATTCACTAACTATACACACACAACCCACTAATTGCCCATATTTCAACATACATACAACAATAATACTTCATTTTAGCCGTACATGTCGTAACATTGCTGAATATATCACAAAATCACAATTTTGGTTGGCTTAACACAAAATCCACCTGCTGATGTGTGATATGGCCACTCAATATGCCGTAAAAACATGATTTTAAGCGCTTAAAATATGCACGATAAAATATGAAATATGCATAAATATGCACGAATAATATCAAAAACATGCTTAAAACATGCATTTAAAAAATGAATAGCTATTGAACTGTGTTCAAAATGTACAAAAACACTGGTAAAAGTAAAATATTACGCATTCACACGTATTCACTATGTATGTATAGAAATAAAAATGCAAATTTAACTTAAATATTTTTGTTGCAATAAATAGCAATATATTCGGATAAATTTTCAGAGAGAAATAATTGCCTGTTATCACGGAATATATTCTTAAACATGGAAAAGGCGCGAACTTAAAGGCAGAAATTTCAGTCATTGAATATTTTTCAATCGGATGAAATGAATTACCGGATTCAATGAGGCCCATAATATTTTTTGATATAGCAATGTCCTGTTTTTTTGCTAAAAACTGATTTTATCTTATTGCCCACAGTCGAAAAATTTACAGCGTTTAATTTTTCTTCAACTCTTTTAACAATTCCTATATGGGTCGATAAAGTCAATGCTGTTGCTTCTAGTGGTCAAAAATTGTATTAAAATAATAAGCACAAAACCACATAAAAGTTGTTTCGAAGTTAATTCAACATTCTAATGGTAACCCCGCACAAGTGCTCGCAATGTTGTCCTCGGAAATCCCTCAAAAGCTGTTTACCCAGGTAACTAGTGGAACAAAAATTGGATATTTTATCTCGATACCACTCTGATTTCCATTTGCTTAATTTTGTTAAGAACCCCATAAGCTAGGTAAAATTCTGCGGTACGTATCCACCACGAGAAATGTCAAATTTTTAGTTTCATCCTACAAAATTTTATATTTTCTACCAATTGGCACAGGCCCTTAGTGTAAAGCTGTATGCAAAAATTGACGAATTTTATAGACGATTATCGATACAAAAATTAGATTGTCAAATAGCACTCAGTGGTGCAAAGTACGTAATCACGGAGGGATGAATTTGAAAATATTTATTATGGGCCTGTCCCAATCAGTAGAAAAGTTCTATCGTGAGAAAATTGTACATTTCTGCTGTACCAATTCGTAACTTTTTACTGCTGGAAATTTTTGAAAGATGCTTTGGGGCAAAAAATAAAATGCCAGCAAGCTAAGCAATCAAAATGCAGCATTTATATGCAAAATATTTGTCTTTTCTGTGCGATGCTTGCCGTCAAATTTTTCACTAGCCTTACGGGCTTGGGAATTTTTATTCACCTCATAGTTGTCAGCAATGTACCATCCAGAGTAGTGTTCTATCAATTGGAACAGGTCCTATAATTTAAAATTTTTTTTTTTTAATATGCACCAAAAAAAATGCACTTATTGCGAAATATACCGAAATATGCTTTAACAAATATGGATAAAAAGCTTTATCTTTTTACAATTAGCATTTCCTTTTAATGCATTTTGTGATAAAGTATAAGAAAAACAAGTAAGAAAGTCTACGTTCGGGCGGAGCCGAACATTAAATACCCGGCGCAAGTATTAAATATATATTTTTCACCTTTCCGAAAGCTACCGCTACGTGGTGAGCCGGGTGTATCAATTTTGAGTAAATTAGCGTGCTTAAATTTCAAACTATTCAAGTTTCAAGCATTTCTGAAATTTACCGTTATATGAAAAGCGGCCGTAATTTTAGTCCGATTTCAATAATTTTCAACGTTTTGCTTTTATGTGGCAAGCACCATAATACCGAGTTTGGTAAAAATTGGTAGAACGGTTGCCAAGATACATATATGTGATTATAAGTGGGCGGTGCCACGCCCATTTTACACAAAATTTTATCATAATCGTATTTCTTGGTAAGGAATTGTTGCACGCATCAATTTTGAATAAATTAGCTTTAATATTTACTTATTTATAGAAGATTTTGTATTTCTCTAAATTATCGTTATATGGGATGTGGGCGTGGTTATAGTCCGATTTAAAAAAATTTCGGCCATTTGGTATGCTGTACCAAGGCCAAGTTTGGAAGAAATTGGTGCAGCGGTTACCAAGATATATACATGTAACCATAAGTGGGCGTGGCTACGCCCAGTTTCCCCAAATTTTTAATATTCTTATTCTTTGTCTAAAATTTATTGTAAGTATCAATTTTGAGTGAATAATCTTCAGTAGTTACTAAAATATCGCAGTTTGCGTATTTCTGAAAATTACCGTTATATGGGAATAGGGCGTAGTTGCAGTTGGATAAATGGAAACCTACATACCATGTTTCGTTGAGATATCTCAATTTTTGTTCGAGTTATCGTGTACACGGACGGACGGACAGACGGACAGACAGACAATNTCAGTTTGCGTATTTCTGAAAATTACCGTTATATGGGAATAGGGCGTAGTTGCAGTTGGATAAATGGAAACCTACATACCATGTTTCGTTGAGATATCTCAATTTTTGTTCGAGTTATCGTGTACACGGACGGACGGACAGACGGACAGACAGACAATGCTTAATCGACTTCTCTATTCATTCTGAGCATTTATGTATAAATTTGTCTATATCTATCTCGATTCGTTTTGGCTGTTACAAAAAACCGTTATGTGAACAAATCTAATATACCCTTGTGCACAAGTGCGCTCGGGTATGAAAACATGCTCGAGCATATATTTGGTTGCCCTATATATAAGTTGTTAGTGATATATTTAGCGATATTATGACATATTTCGCTAGGATGAAGTATTATTCTTGTATGAATGGTGAAATATAGCAATTTGTGCGTTTTTGTATGTAGTTAGTGAATAAAAAAGGTGCTATTGTGTAAACATTTGTTTGTTAATAACTTCTGATCGGGTAAAAAAGTTAATTTCCGCGTCTAATGGTACCCCCTTTCCTAAATTCCCCTTGGCCCCCTTTCGGTCAGTTGTAGGGGTTGAAATCCCAACTAGATAATTACCAAAAATTTTTTATCACGAACAACAAACTGTTTTTACACATATCTTTTATAAGAACACATATATGTTTATAAGTTTAAGTTTTGGGAATCCTCCCCCCTCATAACTGCATTAGTATAGCATCAAAATGAAGGAATTTATTAAGCTTCCCTTTGCGTATTTAACTACCTATACTTACGTAGTTTGTATTTAGATAGAAATTTTCTCCACTATGTTTTCAACGAAATCACGAAATATTTTTGACTTTCATACTGCATTTAGTTTCGAGGATTCCCCAAATTCGACTATGCGAAGGGACGTAATGCATCGCAGTCGCTAGAACATTAGGGCTGCCAGACGTCCCGGTTTTCCCGGGCATGTCCCGGTTTTAGACTATTTGTCCCGAGGTCCCGGTGAAACCTTAAAATGTCCAGGTTCCGTTTAAGTGTCCAGATTTTAATTGCAAACATTTGAATAAAAGTAAAAATAAAAAAAATAAATAAAAATNAGGTTCCGTTTAAGTGTCCAGATTTTAATTGCAAACATTTGAATAAAAGTTCAAAAATCACTAACAATGCCATTTGTGAAATAGTTACATCTCCCGATAGTTGAACTTTGCACAAGCAATATTTGATGATCGATATACCCCTTTAAGTGCAAAGTGCCCTTCCTGATGCTAATTAGCTCTTTTTGCTCGTTTGTTGTTCGTGCGTGGTTTACTTCCAATATAAATTTTCGCAACAAAGTTTTAATTACCTCTAGAAAATGCCAAAGAGAAAGCATAAATTCCGTCCCGCTTTCACAGAAGAGCTATCATTTGTTTATATTATTTAACGTTAAATTTCGCAAATAGAAGCACTCACCTAGCAAAATAATAAAATGCATATATGAGCAAATCCAACGAGTTGTTACATTTTTCGACAAATGTATTTTTGGTCTAAAATTGTGGTTCACTTATCTTGGAAAATGCATTATCTATTATAAAAAACAAGATTCCATCGCGAAATTGTATTTAAATAAAAACTTAAAAAAGATATACTAAAAACGTAAAAAAAAATAAGGTAAAAAAAATTTTTAATCTACCACGTTTTATTAAATGGACTAAAAATTAGAAAATAATATATCTCAGGCCCATAGAATTGGTTTTGATAACTTTCGATTTTGAAATTTTAGCAAAAGTCATTATAAACAATTTATGAGATTGAAAACGAAAAACATGGAGCGCATGCAATACAAAGCATTAGATTCAATTGACAATATTTAGTCAAACATAGACCTAAAATTTCTACAGAGAAAGTACAAATTTGAGATCGATTTTAAGCGATCGTTATTCATATACCCACATACATATGTACATTCATATATTAATTTTCATATCAACTCAAGTCTATTACATGCGTCCCATGCTTTTAATTTTCAATGTCATAAATTGTTTATAATGCATATAGCTAAAATTTCTAAACCAAAAGTTATCAAAACAAATTCTATGGGACTGAGATTTATTATTTTCTAATTTTCAGTCCATTTATATATTAAAACGTTTTTTATTTTTTTTTTATTTTATCACAACTCAAAATAATACGTTCGTCAGAAAATGCGAAACCTATTTCGTAGCACATGCTAATCATATGGGCAAGGGCGACTTTACCTTAAGGTTTTTTTAACAAATTATAACAAAAATTTACTCCAGATTTTGCTGAAAGGTAAATAAAAGCTCTGTGTACATTTTTAGCGCATAATTTCAAAAATGTCAAATTTTGAGTTGTACTCTTTTTAAGACGGTGTGCGATATGTACATACATACATATAGCAGCAATTAATTTCATTTAAAGAAATGGCGGGGCGACATCTATTTCTAGATACCTCCGACGAGGTTGATATCTAGACTAGGTTTGCCACAAATACCTTTGCTATATTTTTAGTATAAAAATGGTGGTCTGCACACACAACTTTGGAAGCTGATAAAAGCGTTGTAATAACCCAGCCAGCAAAAAATCCGAAAACCGATCCGAAAAGGTAAAAAAAGTGGATGAAGTGCGGATTTATGTCCGTTTACTGATTCCATTTTCGGATACTTTGACGATCCATTTTCCCACTAAAGTGTGCGGCAGAAACGTATGTGTAGACAATGTGAAACGGATACGTNAAAACCGATCCGAAAAGGTAAAAAAAGTGGATGAAGGGCGGATTTATGTCCGTTTACTGATTCCATTTTCGGATACTTTGACGATCCGTTTTCCCACTAAAGTGTGCGGCAGAAACGTATGTGTAGACAATGTGAAACGGATACGATTTCGGCTGTTTGTCTGATCGAATGGAATTAGGAAGCGCCTGACGGAATTCGGCACCTTCTGGAAGCTAACAAATAGCGGCACCTTCTGGAAGCTAACAAATAGCGGCACACTCTGCACGCTCAGCCACTGCGAACTACGCAAGCAAGCTTACAAATGTTTAGCTTCAGCAAATAAAATACAATTATTGCTTTCAAATGTCATCATCTTTTTCGAACGTTTTCCGGATAACTGTAGGAGTTTTTTCTATTCGTTTTCGGATACGGAAAATTGAATTAAACTGCACTGTCGGTAAAAATTCCGTTTCTTTGCTGGCTGGGAATTACCACTCACGCATGCGTATGCAACGTATACGCCCCGTAGCACCATTCCAGTCATCTATTACGTTTACTCGCTCTACTGAACTTAAACGCCATATTATTTAAAAGTAATTAAATATGGCGTTTAAGTATTCCTTATGCACATATATATTTCTTTCATTATTTATCATGTATATAACAATTTTAGATATAATTTCGAATGCACCAATAAAAATTATAATAAATGAATTTTTGTTTCTTAAATCATAGTCATCTTTTACTCAATATACTTTTTTCATTTGGTGAGACACTAGTCTTATTACACTAGATTCGTTCGTTTCACATTTTCATCATTAAATGTTGACATTTTGAACTATCTTGTACTTTTAAAATTAAAAAAAATTTTAAAATTTCAAAAATTACAAAATAGCTGCAACAGATATTCTGCATACCGATATTTTTTTAATTTCGTGGTGCACTCTTGAAACTTCACAGATGTTTTGTATTTGATGCCAACGTCTACTGCCGCTAGTGTGAACATTCTATTTTAAAACTTCCCAAAGTTATTAACAAAAAAAAAACAAATATGATTTTTTCGAGTGACAATGAAGAAATGATTAATTTTAGGAATTTCTTCGCCTAAATAAACGATTTAAGGCTAAAATTGTTCAAATAATTGATTTATTTTTTATTGTACTTGTTCCTGGAGCTCCATTGATTGACATAAATGCAAAAAGAATGCTTTATCGTTTTTTTCTTCGGAAAGAAGGGAGTGACACTAAAAACAACTCGTAAGATTTGGTCATATACATTACCGAAAAACTGGAAATAAGGATATTTTTAACAATTCTCGCAGCCTCTAAAGTACTTTCCAAACAAAACCAAGCTTCTAGTTTCAAAACTAGCACATAAATAACTAAGATTTTTTTTCGGTTTTTGTTTACAAAAAAAAAAAATGCTTGTCAAATATAACAGTCAAAATACAGAAAATATACATACATACATATGTATATCGCTTTCATGCATCCATTTGGCGCTTCTTTCCATAACAGGTAAATGCATATTTAATTAATATTCAAAGAAAACCTAAACATAACATAAAAAAATTAGACTAAGAAATATTTTGAAAAACGACTTTATGAGCCATTTAGAGAATGTTCAGGGCTACCTTCAAATTTCAATATACAAAATTTATTATTTCGATATCGCGAAAAAGGTGATCCGTTTCAAGAGTTTAATTCACATTCGAGTGGTAATGTAATAAGGAGCCAGTCTATGCACAATTTCAATAAATAACACAGCCCCACAAAAATAAGTGTCATGTACATGTTTGACAGGAATACCCTATCTCCATATTTTTTGGAGCCCTGAAAACGAGTCTGAAGTCCGTTTTGCTCCGTCGCGTCAGAATTTCTTCCTATCCTCAAAAAAAAACATAGCGGATCTTATGTGACAGGGAAATTTTTTGTGGTTACGAAAAAATCCTGACGTGATGAAGGAAAACGGACTTCATAGTCTTGCTCAGCGCATCAAAATATATAAGGAAAGATAGTCTGATCCCCGAAAGCTAACCCTTTTTTTGTGCGCAACAGGACAGCTGCAAACAGCTCCTTCCAAAAAATCGTCGGGATTCGGGGCCCTTTGCTTATTTATTTTGATACGCTGAACACAAATCTCAAGTTCGTTTTTCTTCATTATGTAATTTTTTCCCTAACTTCAAAAAACGTGCCTGTGAAATAATATTAGCCATGTTTTTGAGGTCCTGACATGATAGAGCAAAACAAACTTGAGATTCGTGTACAGAGCACCAAAACACACGTTGGCAGGGAATCCCTGTCAAAAGTGCATGGTACTTTTTTTTTGGGGACTGTGTAATTATATGCACATAAGTTTAAGTACTTGGACCGAACGGTTCCTAATTTAACTGCTGCTGACTGTGCTTTCGTATCAATTTAACAGAAAATTCGGTTTCAGTAATTTTTGATTAAAAATGCTTACTATAAATCTAAAAGTTCTAAAATTTCGATTAAATATGCATACTTCAAGAAAAGTACTATTTGGGCTTTTTAACTTTATGCATAAACTTGAAATTTTGAGATTCTTCAAACTGCAATTGATTTTATCCACATTTACATACATAATTTTTACCAAGTCTATGCATAAAACCGTTGTGACATTCTGGAGAAGGAAAATGATGCAATCAAATGGATTTGTGTAGGTATGTGCGATTAATCGATTAATCAGCTTTTTAATTAATCATAATCCTGATTAATCAAATAAGTTGATTAATCAGATCCTGAGTAATTACTATTTATTAGAAAAAATATTAATTGAAATCTGAATAACTTTGTTCATTTCTTTCGAGTTTGCTTTCAAACCAAATGAATTTTTTTTTATATGTACAGTATGTTCAAATACATATGTATGTTTGTATTCACATTCAATATTATTCTTATGCCGAATTTCCACTAGGCATTGAAATGACAAAAAATATATATAATTTAAAAAAATGCCATGTGGAAATGAACTTAATGACTATTTTTGAATGTAATGACACCATTATTTTTTAATGACCGACTTTGTCATTTGTCATTTTTGCCGTTGAATGCCTAGTGGAAATCCAGCATTATTAATAAAAATTAAATGCCAAACAAGTACGTACTATGTAGTATATACTACTACGTCCATATGTATGTAGCTCCCTAAAATAAAAAATACGTATGCATATATACATACATATGAAGATAAATTCTTTTATATTTTTGTATACAAACATATGATATGATTAATCAGTTTGCTGCAAACTGATTAATCAATTTAAATCATCAATTTTAATCAAAAATAATTATCCTTTGTTTAATTAATTAATCGGCTTTCGATTAATCAGCTTGATCGGTTAATTGATTAATCGCATATCCCTAATTTGTAGCCATTTTCCGCTTAAGAATTTCATTTCTCACTTACATTTGTACGTATTAAGTTTGTTGTTAATAAGACCTACATATCGTCGTTTAAAGTATACAACCGCGTATGTGAGGTTACACATATTACTTTAGAAAGTAAAAACACTGGTATTTCAAAATGGTTCTTTCTTTTGTAAAGCAATCGCATTTCTGGCTAGTAAATTTCAGGACGAATGGATAAGGCTTGATCCAAGAGCTTCTGTGAGCAAATACAATTTTTGGCAAAACATGTTTGTTACGCGGTTTTGTACTTTAAACGACGATATGCTTAACAAATTGGCAAGAAGTGTGGAATTCATATGTGGTACAAGAATAAATATATTACTACTGCTAAGTTGGAAAAACTGTAGCCACTTTTAAGTTTATTTAAATCTATGCTCGAAGTTATAGTCAAAACAAAATCGACTGTAAAAGTGATTGGAGCTTTTTGACCTAATTTTCAATGAGATATCTGTCAAAAAAGCCGCAACTTGCTTTAGAGTTATTTTGACTATAACTACAGGTCTCCGTATTTTCTATTGCACATACATCACTCTATATAATCTTTTTTCATACCGGCTGCATTTCTTTATTCATTCTGAACGTTTGGAATAAACTTTTTTGTTTACTTATTCCTTAGAACGTTCCTGATTATATGTTGACGTATATTTCAAACGCATTCTGTTTATTCCGGCTGTGAATTGGGATTATCCGGAATGTATAAAGAAACGCAGCCACCATCTTTATATAGAAAAGTATTTAAGTGTATTAACTGTTAGGCAATATAAAGTTCCCTGCAAGCGTTCGGCACTACATTGACATTACTGGCGGCCACATCCCGGCTGAAGGAGATTTTACTCGTGGGCTTAGGAGTAGAAGGTACCACTTTCAAAGGGGACGCGCATTCGTTTTGGGATGTGTCAACTGTGAGCAACGTTGTAGTCGGAATGGATAAAACTGTCGATGTTGTCGGCATAGACCCGGTTGTGGCCGATCGGTTCGGAGGTAGCGCTGACGCCGGTGTATTGGGCAATTGGAGTAAGTTTGGCTGTGGAGATGCAGTCATCGATGGCGAGGAGCTGTAGTGGTACATATTGTTTGTTTGTGGTTGCAACATTGGAAGTGGCAATGGCAATTTATTATAGTAAGGTGGCAGGGCACCGAC